CCAGCGTACACATTTCGTGCACTGGGCCTCTAGTATCTCAATAAAACAGGAAAAAAATGAAAAAAATGTCAGTTGTCAATAGCAAATATATCATCAGTTTCCTTCTTACCTACCAGACTGCCCCTTCTCCCCCAGTCTATTCTACACTTTGATGGCTGTTCTTGCTTTAAAGTTTCAGTGGCTTTTGGGTTGCTACTAGCTAACTTCAAGCTGAGTCCTACAAACAACCCCTTCAGCCCACATCAACCCTGTTGCGTATACTACCCCGCCTTTCCAGCCTGGCTCAGCTCTAGCCAAGCCCAGTGATGTGTCCTCCCAGAGCCACACCTGTGCTGCTGCAGCACAGCCAGGTCAGGACAGCCTTGGAGTGTGCAGCCTCCTTGTCAGTTTGACCTCCCAGGGGAGAGATGAGGGATCAAGGAACCTAGGAAGGTCTCCTGTGCACACTGCAGAGGAGAATAATGGTAAGAGCAGTGTGGTAGCAAGAAGGCAGACATCAGAAAGCTGGAACAGAGTCAGGCAACACGTTGCCTTTTTATAATAGGCTTCCTAATACTTCCCTCTTACCATGAAATGGAATAATAGCTGTAAAATCAATTATGAACATCATGACTTATTTTTCTAATTAATTAAAACCACGTGGTAATTCAAAAGTCTAGCAAATAAATCTTTCTGTGTTGCCAACCTTGCCCAAATATTCTAGAGCCAGGATCCCAGGGTTAAAAGCCCAACTCCACCTCAACACAGAGAACTTAAGTAACGTGTGACCTTTGGTAAATCACTTTACCTCTGTGCCTTTCAAATGGGGGTAATGAGAGTGTGTATTGCACAAGTTTGTTGTGAAGATTGTGAATGAAGATGTGTAAATCAAATAGTGTTTAATAACGGAAAGTGCACAATGATGATTAGCTATTATTCTCTACCTAATTTGGACTAGAAAAGGTTTTCAAATAAGTTGCTAGTATCTAAAAACACAAGCATGAATGCTATGGAGGTAATCATTTTGCAATACGTAAGTGTGCCAAGTCAACACTGTACACCTAAACTTATGCAATGTTACATGTCAATTTTATCCCAATAAAGCTGGGAAAAATTAAAAGCATCATTTGATTATGTTTTAACAGGATCACTGTTAAATAAACTGAAGGGGATCTAAAGAAAAAGCAGGAAGACCAGTTAGGAAGCTTTTGAAGGAATCAAGGTAAGGAATCACAGTGCCTGGGACAGTGTGGTAACAGCTGAGGTGGTGAGAAGTGTACACGGCAGCAGATAAATAATCTGCTTTGTGGTACCCACCTTCATCACAAACCAAGTGCCTATGTGTGTGCGCGCACACCAGAGTTGTGTGCATGCATGTTTGTGTGCCTGTCTCTGAGCTCTGTTCTATCCAGTTTATCTATGTGTTTCTTCCTTTGTGAGTCCCATTTTTATAATGCTTTATGATATGTGCTAATACCTGGTAGCGTGAGTCCTCCCTTTTTGCTCTTCTTTTTCAAAGTTAACTTGGTTATCTATGTTCTTTTATTTTGCTGTGTACATTTTGGAATAAATTTATCAAGTTCCTCAAACCAGAACTTTGTTTGGAATTATGCCAAGTCTGGAAATTAATTTGGAGAAAATTGGCATTTTTGCTGTGCTATCACATTCATGAACATGGTTGAGATCCCCAGTTTATTCACATCCTTTAAAAAAATATTTTTAAAGATATCAGAGAGGAAGGGAGAGGGAGAGAGAGATAGAAACATCAATGATGAGAGAGAATCATTGATTGGCTGCCTCCTGCACACCCCCTACTGGGGATCGAGCCCACAACCCGGGCATGTGCCTTTGACCGAAATCAAAACCAGGACCCATCAGTCCACAGGTTGAGGCTCTATCCACTGAGCCAAGCCAGCTAGGACTATTCAGCATAATAATTCAGAAGCAGATATGGATATCTCAATTCCTTGCATGTGTAAATTTATTGCACTGCAGCTAAATGTTGCTTTTATTCATAATACATACTTGTCTTTACTGAGAATATAAACATTAATGTTGTTTTCAATTTTGTTTGTATATTGCATACATCAAGGATTTAGAATTATATATCAATGGTAAATTCACCAGGTATTTAAATATTTAAACACAAGACTGTAAAAGGAATCTGTTTTCAATTTTCTTTATTTACATCTTCTCTTAATGTAAAAGGATGCGGAAATCCATCTGTTTTCCAATAATTCAGAATTATAACTTTTCAGGCTTAAAAAAGATCATTCATTTATATGCATTTACAGAGAAGAATAATTGAATTTCTGTGGGCTACTTAAATAACAGTTTATGTAGTCACATTGCATTTTAGTAAATATAAGTATTCAAATTTTGTAGTAATTTAAAAAATTTCTAGCAGTAGTGACTATTTCTCTGCCTAATAAAATACCAAGCCATACCATTTCTAGTTGGGGACAGTGCAGTGTAAACACTGGCATAGCATTTGTTTCTAAACTATACATAGGAACACACACACGTTTATTCTCTGTGACATGATAATCTTCTGTTTAGGAATTTGGTATGTTCCAAGGAAAGAATAAACTGCATGCCAAAGATGTCTATTGAAAAATTAGAAGCAGCATAATTGGTCAGAACTAAGGAAATTATGGCATACCCACTCCATGAAATGGTAGACAGCCATTGAAATTTGAAGACTATATAGCAGTTGGAAAAGTACCTATGCTGCTACGTAAAGAAGGAAAATCTATAAAAACTGAACAAATACAAAGATCTTGACTACATGTTTAAAATATGTGTCTCTGACCAAGGAAGAAATGAAATTAATAGTTACTAGGGTGGTGAGATCATGAGAGAACCCTTCGTTCTCCAAACTTTTTGTTGTAGAAATACTAATAGCCACCAACGCCATTGATATAAAAGCTGTTACCTAGTGTTTCTATCAATTGCCTCTGGTCGATGTGGTTAAGATTTGCAGATCTTTCTTCAGAGAAGATAGTTTCTGGATTAGGTATGGATCAATGTAGGCATTCATCTTCGGGCTGTGGAGAAGGCAGAAGGGATTTTTTATTTCCTCAAGGATATTGAAACATTACCTCTGCCTGGGAGATGACACTGACCAATATATATGAGACAGTTTCATTAATGCTCTTGTAATCTGTGTTTGTTCAGAAGAAAGGCTTCACCTGTCAGTTTCCACTGGGGGAACTTTTAGAGCTTGAATGTCAGAACCTTGCAATTTAGACGTTCTTTAATTTGTTATGCTTCCCTTTATGCCCGGAACTGCATTTTTAATATCTAGGCAGATGGTATGTAAACACTCAGGAATTTTACACCCACATTTTGCTTGGTGTGCTGGTAGGACATTTCTTCCAGAGTATAGATTTTCTTTGTTTTGATTATGACATAACTGCAAGATTTTCATCAACCGATTTAGAGGAATTTGGGTGTATCCTTCCTACCTGTGTTTGCACCTTAAGCAGTTCTTATTCCTCGTAATTTGATACATATTTCTTTTTTCTTTCAACCAACTCTTGCAATATTTTTTTATAGGATTTCAGTAAGGGAGAACAGACATTCTGAATCTGTGAAAAATATATGCCAAATTATGCTGAAAGTATTTATATAATGTGTTCTGAATAATGAAACAGGGTGTGTATGTTTTTGTTTGTTTGTTTTTTTTAATAATAGAAAATAAGGCTGGGTGAGTTTAGGCCAGGTCTTTTGGATATGATGATTTGATTTGGGAGCCAGGTCCAAATTGGTCAACCCATTGATGAGACAGATTAGTATTTATAAGATTTCATTGTTTTTTACAAAATTGAATAGCTAACTTTCCACAACCCTAGTCCTTATTTTCAGTCCTTTAAAAGACAAATATTTATTAGATACTCATTATTTACCCAGCATTGTATTTGCATCCATGAGATACAAGACATGTAAGACATGGTTTTGTCTTGAAGAAGTTTAAAAAGCCAGATAAAGGGACAAAACTAACTTGCATGGGAAAATTTAATACAAAATTATGTATGTGCTCAAAAGAGAACAAAATTTTCCCATCTTTGGCTTTTTTTGAGGAGGAATTTTCCCAAGTGCACTCCAAGTTTCTCCCTTTAATTCACTCCATGTCCATTGCGGGGGTCAGAGCGGTGGTGACCGATGTGATTGGAGACCATGTTCTAGCCGGTTCCATCCTTCCTCCTCTTGGAAGCTAGCTGGCTCACACAGAGCCTGGGCTCTCCTCAGTGCTTCTCTTCCAAGGTGTATGTTTGACCTGGGTAGGTATCCATCCCCTGCCCTTGCCCAGGGTTGCCTGAGATTGGGGGCAGATCTGACTAAATAAATCTAGGGGTTAGTCTTAGCAAAACCACTTGGTAATAGGGTTGATATTTGGTCTTAATATTTATTCTTTGTTTTAATCCTCAGTTTCTACAGAAACCAGGTTAGGAAGAGACCAGAACAATATATGATACTGGAAGCTAACATCCAAGGGAAATAATGTGAACTGTGAGTGGTTGGAGAAGTCATAAGAAGGATTCATTGGATTTGGATCTTGAAGGGTGACTAGGACTTGGAAAATAGAAAGAAGATAGTCACTTTTTCAGCCTCATTTATAGTCTCTTGAACTTTTAGACTGATGTAGAAGGGAGGAATAAGAATTACTTTTTAAAAAAATTGCAGGTGACCTCATGGCACCAGGAAAGGGATTTTTCAAGACCACCTCAAAGGAAAAAGAAATTAAGAAGAGAATTATAGACTTTTGTAATTTCTAGGTATGTAGATAGAAGCAAGATTTTGTTTATGACTGGTCTAACTGCATAGTGTTCTCTAAAGATGTGTCATTGGTTTTCGGCAGGACTGCCGGCCCCTCCTGCCCCAAACCAGGAACCGGAGGCCAGGAGCTCGGCTGTGCATAGCGACTTTATCTATAGACTGTGTGCCTGGAGGCCCCTTGGAATTGCAGTCCTAGTGCAGGTAGAGGCAGTGACCAACCAGTTGGTGGGCCTTGTCTCTCTGCTCAGTTTTAGTTTTTTTCCAGACCTGATCAGATGGCCAAAGGCCAGGAGGCAGTTGCCCTCAAGGAGAAAATATTCCCAACCACCAACCTACCACTGTTCATTGGTAAATAGAAACAATTCCTGGGGAGGAGAAAAAAGAAATCTAAGAGAACTCAGAGCGCGTGAATTCTAAGTTAGAGGATATAGCCCTTACCCAGTGAGAGCAGGTCTGCCTCCCCCTCTAGCATCTCCTTGCAGAAATTCCACTTAGTGCTGATCTGGTGCCCAGCATCGTTTTGTGATTTATTCACAGCCACATCCTGCAGCATCTTGAATTCCTGAAATAGAAATTCCTGCTCAATAACTGTCCAATACAGAGCCAGGCCCTCCAGGCCCTCTCTTCTCTTTTTAAATCGGTACTACTCTCTGCATTACTTTTGGTCTCAGTAGATTATTTTGTCTCTCCCTTTAAAAATGCGTGAAACTGAGATCCAAGGTAATAAAGGCCATAAAAGATAAACCAACAGTCAACATCATACTCAATGGGCAAAAAACTATAAGTGTTTCCCTTAATATCAGGAATAAGACAGGAATGTCCACTTTTACCACTCTTATTCAACATAGTGCAGGAAGTCCTAGCCACAGACGAGAAGAAAAAAATAAAAGGCATCCAAATTGGAAAAGAAGAGTAAAACTGTCACTATTTGCAGATGATGTGACACTGTATATAGAGAACCCCAAAGATTCAATAAAAAACTATTAGAGCTGATAAATGAAAATTTAGTAAAGTGGTGGATACAAAACAAATATCCAGAAATTGGTTATATTTTTATACACCAATAATGAACTATCAGAAAGCGAACTAAGAAAACATCCCCATTTCCAATTGCATAAAAATAAAAACAAATAATCTAGGAATAAATTTAACCAAGGATGTAAAAGACATGTACTCGGAAAATTTTAAGATACTGAAGAAAGAAATTGAAGCAGATACAAATAAGTGGAAGCATATACTGTGTTTCTGGATAGTAAGAATTAACACTATTTAAATGTCCACACTACCCAAAGCAATCTATAGATTACATACAATTCCTATCAAGATACTAATGGCATATTTCACAGAGCTAGAAAAAATATTCCAAAAATTTATATGGAACAAGAAAAGACCCCAAATAGCCATAGCAATCTTGAGAAAAAACAAAAAAGTTGGAGGA